ATCAGGTTGCCCCAATAAGTCCATTAAAACGCTCCAATTAATTCAGAACGCTGCAGCACGAGTACTGACAGGAACTAGAAAAAAGAGATCACATCTCTCCTGTACTAGCTTCTCTGCATTGGCTCCCTATAAAATGTAGAATAGAATTTAAAATCCTCCTCCTCACCTATAAAGCTCTTCATGGTCAGGCCCCTTCATATCTTAAAGAGCTCATAGTACCCTATTACCCCACTAGAACACTACGTTCTCTGAATGCTGGGCTACTTGTGGTTCCTATAGTCTCTAAAAGTAGAACAGGAGCCAGAGCCTTCAGTTACCAAGCTCCTCTCCTGTGGAACCAGCTTCCAGTTGTGGTTCGGGAGGCAGACACCCTCACCACATTCAAGAGTAGGCTTAAGACATTCCTCTTTGATAAAGCTTATAGTTAGGGCTGGATCAGGTGAGTCCTGAACCATCCCTTAGTTATGCTGCTATAGGCCTAGACTATCGGGGGATTTCCCATGGTGCAGTGAGCTCCTCTCTTCCTCTCTCTTTCTGCACTCATTCATGTTCCATTAATGCATGTTACTAACTTCACTTCTTCCCCGGAGTTCTTGTGCTTTCTCGTCTCGCAGGTTCTCATGGATCCTGGTGGAGCCTCCTGCCATGGTCCTGCTAGATTGCCATTGCCAATACTGTTTTTGCTGTGCACCTGTCTGTCTGTCTCTCGCTCTCTCTCTCTCTCTCTCTCACCCCAACTGGTCGAGACAGACGACCACCCACCTAGAGCCGGAGGATCTGTCCTAGGTTTCTGCCTTTTAACAGGCAGTAAATAAACTACATTTTATACATGTACCATTATCTTTAAAGGAGGCAGAGAAATAACTGAATAACGGAATAACGTAAAAGGAGTCTGAATACTTTCCGTACTCACTGTATTACTGTATATAAGGTTTTTTTGTTATACATTGTTTTGTTTTTCGTTCCCCAGCAGTGGGCTCACTGTCTGGGGAGTAAGTTAGAGTTTTTTCGGACGGATAAAATGGCTATGAAAGATAACGGACTGGTGCAGAAGTTGAATGAGAAAGTGTGTGAGAACGGTAGAGTGAGTGAGGCTCCCAAGATGGCGGAGAGGAACTATGCCAAAGAGTTGACGGCGTGTGTGCAGCTACAAGGAACGGGAAAGGTGTCTACGGCAGAGCTGATGCAGGAGGTGATCGGGCTGTGAGGAGGACTGCTGGCATTGCAGGGTGATCGAGGAGAGGACATTCGAGCTGACGATTATGAGCGCGAGAGGGAAGGAGAGGCTGATAGAGGGGCTGAAAGTCGGCGAGGTGGCGATGTTGGCGAGGTGTTGGAGAAACTCAAAAGCTGGGGAGTTACAGCCGTCTCAAATATCAGACGGAGGATGTGGCCGGGGACTAATATTGTAGATGGGACACGCTTCTTGAAAGTAAGGTTTAACAAACAGGTTCAATCATTCCCATACTCAACCAAATTCAACACACACAATGGAGCTGAATACTTCAGAATCATACATGACAAACAAATAAGAGTGTGTAAATTGTGTATTCAACCTGGCCACATTCTGAGAGATTGCCCGGAGTTTAGTTGTCATAAACGTGGGGCTCAGGGGCATTACGCGAGGGAGTGTGAGTTGAGGGCGGCAGAAAAATGCAAATTGTGCCACAAACAAATTAAAGAGTTTATATGTAATGACACTAGCGAGCAGAGCGACAGAGACTTGGAAAGAGAAAGATTTAGAGAAGACTGTGGCTGAGGCTCAGTGCGGTGAGGGAGGAACTGTACAGGGGCAAAAGTTAATAATAACAAATCTGAAATCATGTTCTGCGGAAAACAGGGCATGGTTACAAATAAGTGGGGATTTAGGGAGGTTAAAAGTGAAAAACAAGTTCTTGGTATATATATATATGTGTAGGAAAGGATAGAGAAAGAGCAAGGGATAGGACGTGGGAGGAAACAATACAAAAGGTGAAAAATATAATCAATCTGTGGAGATTGAGGGGACTGAATCCGAGAGGAAAGGTAATTGTTTCTAATGCTCTAATACTGTCCAAAATTAACCACGTTTTGGGAAACTGAGTTGCCAATTTGGGCACTAAATTTGCTAAATAATGCTATCATAGCATCCTTTCTGTGGAGGAGTAAGGGAAATTCGATTGCTCACAGAGTGTTAATCACTAAGAAAAGGGAGGGGGGCTTAGGTTTGATTGACATAAGAGATGCACTGACGCTAGAATTAATTAACAGATTTTTGGAATCGACCCAGCAGTCCCCCTGGATGGACTCGCTGGCAGGCCATCTGTCTGAGTATGGTGAGAGGAGCGTGTTCAACCTCTGTGTCTCCTCTCCCAGGAAAGACTATAGTGGTCTGCCGGGGTTCTACCAGGAGGTATTAAAGGCATGGGGCAAAATTCTGTCCCACCTCAGGCAAGAGTGCAGCAGAAAACATGTGATGCAGCTACCTTTCCTCTCAAACCTGGCTTTTTTATGGGGGGAAAGGTGCTTGGTTCGCAAGTGTCTGACGGCTGCCGGTTTCACTAAGGTGGGACAGGTAGTTGGAAGCACTGGGGAATTAGACATTGTTAATGTATGTACAGAAATGAAAAAAAAGAATGTATTGTTTAGAAGGAAGCAAGTGGCCAAACTGGGCCACAAGTTTCAAGAGAGCTTGCTGCCTGAGTGGCGAGGCCTACTCAGGGGCAATAGTGATAAGGTGCAGGGCGATGCCTTGGGGTTCCTCCTGTGCCTGAAAACCATTAAAATGTAAATTAAATGTAACATCCATTAAAACCAGAGACTGGTAAAATATCTTTATAGCAAAAATCTCACAAACACCAGCATCTGTTAAACATTGGGAGAAACTGTTTCCCACCCGGTCAATTAATACCATTTGGAAAAACAGACATCCCTTTCGTAACTTCTAATTAATTTCACTTAGATTTCAAAATCAGGCACAGGAGGATCTTCACAGGCATCGTCCTGCACCAAATTGCAAAAGAAAAAATGTATAGCAGAACATGCTCGGTGTGTGGGGAGGGAGAGGAGGATCTTGAACATCTCTTCCTCCGCTGCAGCGCACACACTGGGCTGTGGGAGGAGCTCCGATAGCTCTTGGAGTTACATTGTAACTTTAAAACACATACTGGCAGTGGGCCAGATTGTTTGGACTGCATCAAAACAATAACACCTACAACAAGAACTTTATAAACATGGTCCTTGTTTTGCAAGAAAAGGGGTATGGAATACAAGGAATTTTGCACTGTATGAACAGAAAATCCACAACAGTCAGATACTTTTTGCAAACACTCTTAAAGCGCATGTAAGACTGTTGCATGGAAGGACAGATGTATGGACAAAGAGTGCTCTAAACTCAAGACATTCATTGTTTAAAGAGCATGGGGAGGGCGAGAAACGCCTGTTAGAGTTTGTTTTTTGAAAATGGCAAAATATTCACTTTGAAATATCTTATTTTATTTGTTAATTTAATTAAATTATTTTATTTGGATCTCTTGATCTGATTAATTTGGATGATTTCATTTACTTATTCATTTTGTTTGCTTTATTTGATTTAGGTTTCCAATTTAATTAATTTGTTTATTTTATTTGTTTAACTTTTTCAGTTTTTGTTTATTTCATTTGATTTTGGTTTTTTGATCTGGTTTTCTTGTTTATTTTATTTGTTTATTTTTCTGATTTTATTTTATGAAGCTTATGTTGAGTTCACTATGTGTAATAAGTGTTTTATTTTTGCAAATTTGTAAATAAGAGTAAATGTTTAAACTGTATTTGTATTTTTGGTAATAAAAGATTAAAAAAGAAAAAAAAACACGCCCAATCTCGTCCGATGTCGGAAGCTAAGCAGGGTCGGGCCTGGTTAGTACTTGGGTGGGAGACTGCCTGGGAATACAAGGTGCTGTAAGCCTTTTCATTTCTCTTAGCAAACAGCAGACGTTGCTGCTTCTTCACTGTACACAGAACGTTGTTCAGATATTTTTCCACTGTTGTTGTCTAATATTTAAGCTTTCCGTCTAGATGGAATTCATTTGATTCTACTATTGTTATTATCATTGTTGTTGTTGTTTTTAATCACTTGTTGTTGT